CCCAGAATTCCAATCTTGGGTGATTTTCCCCAGGCAAAAGACAAGCTGTATAGCTTATTTCTTTTCATAAAAATGGAAATTTGAACTCATCTGTGAGCACTTAGGAAATTTATGTACAATTTAGAAGATGCAGTATGTTATCCACAATGATGTAGAATCACCGAGAAATGATATGGTTATATTTTTACCAAGCATCTGGTGTTTGTGTCAAGACTCTGTAGTAGAAGATTTAACCTAATTCAGACACATTTCAGGCATTGTAGAGTAGGGGCTATTTGTTCTTTGAGATATTAAAAAAAAAAACTACACCTTTGCCAATTTGAGTGTCAACATAAAACTTATACCTGTTTTAAGGCAGTATTTTTCAGCTGGTGGTGAACTTTATTAGGAAAGAGAGGGAAACACAATGAAGGAAGCAGACATCACAAAGCCTGTGGTTAAAATTGCACCTCTCCTTTTTTTACTTTGTTCACAGTGTAGGTTTTTGTACTCTGGACTCATTTATAGGGCTCTTTATGCTTTGGAGACTATCGCTAATTTGCATCTAACAACATATATACATCAAGGCTTCTCATCACTTGCTTTATAAAAAATTCAGTGGTTCCCTATACTTTTTGGTTCACTGGTATGTTGCATGGCTCTGTGGTGGAAGTAAAGAAATATAATGCTTTAAGGAACATAAAGTTCCTCCTGTTTATTAATGGTGAGGCATCTTTTCATTATAATAGCTAACAGTATTGGGCAGTTTTGGATGAATACTTACTTACTGATATGTAAAGTGGGTACTTGAGGAGCTCAGAAAAGGAGACAGCTCATCTCCAGTGGCCTGGGAAAGGAGTTGTTGAAGAGAAAATATTGGAACTGTTTTTTGGAAGGGTCTGTTAGGAGAGAGGGTAATCTAGGATAGACATTCCAGAAATGAGAGGGCCTAGGCATGTATAGGCAAAAGTTAAGTCTGTGATCTTGATTGGAGTGCTGGCTTCACCTTAAGGAGAATAAGATATGATTGGAATATTGAGGTCAGATTGTTGTAGATGATGAAATGAGGAGCCTAGTGATGGCAGCAGCAACTGTGTTTGTTTGTTGGTTTTTTTCTTTATGATTTTTATTGGAGTCGAGTTAATACTGTGTAAGTTTCAGGTATGCAGCAGCATGAATCAGCTATACATATATCCATCCACTCTTTTCTAGATTCTTTCCCCAGGCGGGCCATTTCAGAGTACTGAGCAGAGTTCCTGTGCTATACAGTAGGTTCTTCTTAGTTCCCTATTTTATGTGGGCTTCCCTGGTGTCTCAGATGGTCAAAGAATCCGCCTGCAATGCAGGAGACCCGGGTTCGATCCCTGGGTCAGGACCATCCCCCGGAAAAAAGAATGGCAACCCACTCCCATATTCTTGCCTGGCAAATCCCGTGGACTGAGGAGCCTGATGGGGTGCGGTCCAGGGGTCGCACAGAGTCAGACACAACTGAGCGACTCACACTTTGACTTTGTTCTTTGTTTAGTGTGTATATGTCAGTCCTGATTGCCCCTTTGCCCCCTGGCAACTGTGCACGTTTCTTTTCTATGTCTGTAACCCTATTTCTTTTTTGTAGATAAAGTCACTTTTACACTTTTTTGGAGCAACATTTTTTTTTTTTAAAGGAAGACCACTCTATTGAAGGTGTAAGAGGATTGGAAGAATAAGTGGTGGGAGACAGAAAACTCAGTGAGGAAAACTGCATGAGTTGAACTAATGTGGTGACTGTCAGAATGGACCAGAAGGGGCAAATTTACAGAGTTGAGAAAGATTAATGAATTTGGATACTAACTCCTTTGTGAATACAAAGGATAAGGGAATGTATTAAAGATTGTTATGAAGTTTTAAACCTGGAGATCAGTGACAGTAAGAAAATAGTAAACAGAAAGTTGAAAGAAGGAATTACTAATTTTTATGGGAAGAGGATTTAGGTTTCAGAATTGGGATTGATTTTATGTGAAATAAGTGAATAGGTCAGGCATGAAGTCACAGATGTAGGATTGAAGCTTGGGAGAGAAAAGAGGGATAAAGACCATATTATGGTAGGGCACATAATATGTGTGGAGACTGCTTTTTGAAGTTTAGAACCAAAAGACAGAAAGGAAAAAAGGTAATAGATTGTGAGAACCAAAGCAAGATATTTGTCGACAAAAAAATGTATTAGAAATAGTACATTTGTATAGATAGAATGAGAGAAGCTGGTGAATAGAAAGGCTAAGAATCCTGAGCTCTAATAATTAAGGGGATGTGGAGAAAAAGAACAATGATCATAAAATACCTGGATTTTAAAGATAGTGCTTACTTATGTCCTGGTCAGTCAATATTTTATTATAAAAGGACAGCCATTGATTTCTAGGACAATAATTACTTCAGAAGAATTACTTTGGTGTAGTGTGGCTTTGGTAGAAACATAATTCTGTCATGTTGGTGTAATAAACAACGTTTAAGTGAAACCAGGGTATTTGTAGACATCATTCTATGTTGAAATTTGAAAGATGTTAACAAGTTGAAATTCTTTTCTGATTTACTCACCTTGTTTTGATCACAGATTCCTGCAAACTTTATTAACATCAGTGCTAAATCTGCAAAATAATTGAGTCCCTCACTGGAATTGTTACTACAGATCCAGTTCAATTGTCTGACTATTGTGCAATTTGCGTGATATATTAACAGAGATAGTACTTGTCATTATATTACTTCATCAGCATACTGAGTAATACTCCAGGGACCTCATAAATAAAAAAAATAAAACTTTGACCAATCTCTTAACATGTTTTATTCTTTCCCAGTGAGCTCTTTATTATACAGAAAATAAAATAAAGTACCTTTATTGTGCAGAGGATGAAATAAAAGAAGCCCATAGGGGCTTCTCTGATGACTGCAATGGTGAAGAATCTGCCTGCCGTCGCAGGAGATGCAGGTTTGATCCTTGGGTCGGGAAGATCCCCTGGAGAAGGAAATGGCAACCCACTTCAGTATTCTTGTTGGGAAATCCCATGAGCCTGGTGGGCTACAGTCCATGGAGTCTCAAAAATGTCAGACACAACTTAGTGACTAAACAGCAACAACAAAAGTCCATTCACTGACACCTGTCATCAGTCTCATTGATAGTTTTTATGCAGTTAGTGAGAGTGGACTGCCATGGGCAAGAAAACAGACTGGTGTGAACTAAACCTCAGTTGAAATCCTGACCTGTTACACTGTAAATATAAGACCTTAGGCTAGTTTCTTCTTCCCTCCTTCCTTCCCTCTCTTTTTCTTTTGAGTTTTTTAAAGAGCATTTTAAAGCTCATAGTAAGTTGATGGGGAGCATACAGAAAGTGAAAGTCACTCAGTCGTGTCCGAATCTTTGCAACCCCATGGGCTATACAGTCCATGGAATTCTCCAGGCCAGAATACTGGAGTGGGTAGCCTTTCCCTTCTGCAAGGGATCTTCCCAACCCAGGGATCAAACCCAGGTTTCCTGCATTGCAGGCAGATTCTTTACCAGCTGAGCCCCAAGGGAAGCCCAAGAATACTGGAGTGGGTAGCCTATCCCTTCTTCAGGGGATCTTCCCAACCCAGGAATCGAACCAGGGTCTCCTGCATTGCAGGCGGATTCTCTATCAACTGAGCTATCAGGGAAGCTGGAGTGTAGAGAGATTTCCTGTTAACTCCTGCTCCCCCACACCCACATGGGCTCATTTGTTTAACACTGCTAATTCTCAGTTTCCTCATCTCTAAATTACAATTAGTAACAATTCATAGATTTGAGGACTGAGTAAGATCATGTTTTCAAAATGCCTGATATGTGGTAAGTACTCAGTAACGTGTATGTGATCATAATAGAGACATAATCGGCTTCAAAACTTACTTGGAGCAGTATATTCACAGGTGCTTCATAAATGTTTTTTGATGATAATGCTTAATATGGTTCTCACACTTTGAATGAATGATTACACACACACATACATACATACATACATACATACATACATACATACACATACCCCTACCTCTATGTAGGGATACTAGTGATTATGGGATCCTGAGTCTGAAAAGCTTTCACTTCCCTCATGAATAGAATTGTTTGCCTACGTGTACTGTATACCACTTGGTTATCATGAAATTGTAAATGTGGTAAATAATTATAGAAGTGAGTTGATAGACTTTAGCCCCAGGTTAGATATTCTTAGGAACTGTGGTGATTTCTCTTCTAGATCTGTTGTTTTCTTTCCGAACAGTGGGGGCTTTTTACTACACTTGTACTAGAGATAGTACAGCTGATTCTAGCCTAGGCCCCCGAACCCTTGAGGCTCTGAAGTGGATTGATTTTTATAAGCAGGACCTCCTGGCAGTAGTGATTTAAAAAAAAAAAAACCCTGTTGCTTTTGTTGCTTTGAAGCTCTGCAGATGAGAAGTGGCCCTCGAAATTATTTGCAGGTCAAGACCACTTAGTCCACTGTGGCCTCCGCTGGCCTGGTTGGCAGGTGTTTTAGGTTGCTGGTTCATTTCCTTGTCTATGTTCTGAGAACTGACCTCCCTGATAAGATTTTGTTCTTTAACTGAAGTAACACATCTAAATGGATTGGCCCCTTGCCTGCAGAATAGTAAGCCCTCAGTAAACATTATGGCATTATTGCTGATGCTGCTATAATTTGGAATAATGAGGATTAAATTATGACTGCAGGATTATATTGCTTGACTCACCCAACTTCATGCCTGACACATAGTAGACCCTCAATAAAAACTTCCCATTTACCCCCATGTGCGAATGCCCACTATACCCTGTTCTGTTTTAGGCATGGGTAGCAAATCGATGACTTTCTGGCCATAATGAATCTTTCCTTAGGTCTACTACTAGAAATAATGAATAGCTAGGTTAATATCCTTCTTAGTCAAGGAGGTTTTAGAATTAGGTCTTCATGGTTTTAAAATTGCTTTTTCCTAATAGCATATCGTAAAGGTGCATGTTAATTTTAAGTGTTTATCTGCTTGTACAGATGCTGTTGACTGAGTACTTGGATATGAAAAATACACGTACAGCCTCTGAACCATCAGCTCAGCTCAGTTATGCCAGCAGTGGACGCGACTGTGCAGCCTTTTTTGCCAAGAAGAAGCCTCAAAGGCCAAAAAATTCTCTTTTCAAGTAAGTATCTCCCTGCTGGTAAGATAGATGTTCAGATGTGTTAGATCCAAGCTGAATGGTTCTCTACTTTATTAACAGTCATTATTTCACCCAGTTAAAGTTGATTTGAAAGAATTATGATAGCAATATATATTCCTCTCATATACTGCATATATATATTCAATTTTGTGTATTTTCGTCTTCTGTAAGAGAAGTGGCTGTTTTGAACTATGGTTGCTGGACTATCTAAAACTTTCAAAAAAAAATTTCTGGAATTCATTTCTGGGTATTTTTATATAAAATGAAGAGAAATTCCCTTCTTGTTTCTGGGGAATTTTGTATGGAATGAAAGGAAATGAAGTAGTATAGCCTTTGCAAAGGCCTCAAGTGCCAAGAAACAACCTTTGTTAATAAAATTATAAAGCTAGCTAAGTAGTATTGGGTTTTACTTGAAGTAATAAAAGAATAACGTGGACATTCTTTTTTCCTCATTATGATCAACTACCCTCCTCAGCTGGTCATAAGTTGGTGTCAGTTGGTAATAGCTAACAGTTAATATTATTATTAACATTAATAGTAATAGCAGTAACAGCTACCATTGCTCAAGTGCTTACTATGTACCAGGCATTGTGGTAAATGGGTTTTTCAGGAGAGTCTCAAATTAATCATAATTTAATTCAGATTATATCAAATTTGGGCAGCAAGAGTAGTGGTTAACACTTCTGAGTCCTTACTAAGTGTTAGCCAAGGCATGAAGCCATTTTCATGGATTATCTCATTTACTCATTCATTATAAAAATCTTATGGGTGTGGGTACTATTTTTCATCCTCTTTTAGACATGAAAAAAAATTNTAGCCAAGGCATGAAGCCATTTTCATGGATTATCTCATTTACTCATTCATTATAAAAATCTTATGGGTGTGGGTACTATTTTTCATCCTCTTTTAGACATGAAAAAATATTGAGGCACTAACCTCTTAGACACATACAATTTAGTAAAGAAGACAGACAAGTAAATACTTGTGATGGTACCATGAGTGCATGGTATTGGTGGAGGCCATGAAGGGACTCCCAATCAAAAGCAGCTCTTAAGCTTCTCAGGAGACTGCTGAACTTTCCTGGGAGCAAAGCCAGCCCTTCCCCTGAGTTAGCAGTGCTTTGGGAAACAAAGGCTACCAGGCACTACTGGTATCGTTCATTCTCATGGCCAATGACTTTCTCTGCTCAGCACTAGTCAGAGGGGATTATTGGACAACATACATGGTAAAGAAAAAGCTCATTGGAAACTGAAGTCTATTTGTCAAAATTACACATGATCTAAATGCGGTGTGGTATCCTGGAACAGGAAAAGATTATTAGTGGAACACTTTTGTGAGATTCAAATGAAGTCTGTAGTTCAGTATCATACTCATGTTAGTTTATTAGATGCAACAAAATGTATTGCAATTATGTACGGCGTTAACATGAGGGAGGGTTTGGGGTGAAAGGTGTACAGAAACTCTTTGTGCTGCTTTGTATCTTCTATAAACTTGATTCCAAAATTCAGTTTGTTTTTTAAAAAAAAATTTAAAACTTGACACACAAGAGGTTAAGGAACTTACGTAAGTTCACATAACTAGCAAGTGGTAGAAACAGGATTTAAATCTTGGCTGACTTGTGTTCTTGTGAGGATTAATAAATATTTAAAAATCATATCTGTAAATCTAAGCATGTAAAGTGAGTACAGAAATACATCCCAGTGTTGTCAATTCCTTCTTTTTGAATATTTGGAAGTCCAGTATCTTCTGTTGATTCACTTTGGAGATTTGTTTTCTATCAGGAGAGTTCTTAATCATTAAGGTTTCAGCAGTTCATTTATCTTGTAGTTTTGAGGAGAGGAGATTTCCTGTGCCCACACTGTAGTAAAATCCATTCTGTTTATTGAATTTGTTATTTAAAAAAAGCAAAACAAAATACAACACAGTTTTATTCACAGGTTGTTTGCAGTATGAGTTAAAATGCTTTAGTCTGCAAGTAACATAGGACCCCAAGTGAATAGGTTAACTTGTAAGAAGGTTATTACCTCACACATAAGAGTGACTATAGAGGATTCCTCAGTTCACCAATACAGTATCATCAAGGACTCCGTCCTTTCCTTTTCTCTTCGCATTCAGTCCCACTCCAGTAAAAATGGTGGTGTTAAGGAAAGTGTGTGATTCACCCCACAAATCTTTTTTTTTTTAATTAGTAGGCTTAATTTTTTATAGCCATCTTAGATTTGCAGAAAAATTGATTTCCCTTATGTATGGAGATTTCCCTTATGTTCCTCTGCTCCACGAGTCTCTCCTCTGATTAACATCTTGCTTAGGTGTGGCACATTAGTTACAGTTGAGGAACCAACATTGATACATCATTGTTAAAGTCCTTTGTTTATATTAGCGTTCCCTCTTCTGTGTTGTATATAGTTCCACTGGTTTGGAGAAATACATGATGTCATGTATCTACCGTTATAGTATATAAGGGAGTAATTTCACTGCCCTAAATATCCTGTTTTTCACTTACTCATTCCTCCTTCTTTTCCTTACTCCCGAACCCCTAGAAATGACTGATCTTTTTTTGTTTTTAAACTATCTCTGTAGTTTGCTCTTTCTAGAATCTTTTACAGTTAGAATCATACGATACCCAGTCTTTTCAGACTGACTTCTTTCACTTAGTAATATGCATTTAATGTTCATCCATGTCTTTTTGTGGCATCTTTTGTGTTGCTAAATAATACTAGTTTTGTGACTGTACCACAGTTTTCCCTTTCAATTACTGAGAGACATCTTGGTTGCTTCCAACTTCTGGCAGTTATGGATACAGTGGTGATAAACATTCATGTGCAGGTTTTAGGGTCAGTGTCAGTATTTGACTCATTTGGGTAAATGCCCAGGAGTGTAATTGCTGGATCATATGGTAGGACTGTGTTTTAACTTTGTAGGATACCATGGCACTGTCTTCCAAAATGGCTTTACCATTTCAAATCCTTTTTAATTCATGAGTAATGGTTAGTCATCCATTTGTTAATCTTTTCTGCCAGTGGCAAAGCCCCTCTGCAAGTTTTCCTCAAGAAAACTAGGTCTGAGGCCCATTCCTGAACCAGTCACTGGCAAGGGGAAGGAGACCATAGTGATTGTCTTTAAACCAGTGAGAGTTCATCTTTGGTAATAGGTCTCCACCTGGAGAGGGGGCCCCTTCCCCTGATCTTCCTGCTGAGTGAAGAGGGAAGGAGGACATAGATGCCCAGATAGAATTGAGGCTGTGCCAGCAAGCAAGATACAGTGGGAGAAAGGTGATTGATGGAGGCAGCTATGACTGCCTCAAGTACTGCCTAAGGCCTGCTCTTAGGCCTTTTCTTTTCCTCTCTCCCCTGCCTTCCTTCCTCCACCCCTCCTCATCCTCTTATTCCCTCCTCAAGCCCAACTGACCATTTTCAATCTACACATGTTGCCAAAAGCAAGTTTCAGGGTGTTTAGATTTCATGCTGTCACCCCTCACCCCTGACTTTGAGCATCAGACGATATAAGCATTTTTAGACACCTAACCAATCTTGAAATTGTGGTTTTGGAAACCATAAGTTATTGAAAGTAAGTAAGTGAACTTAAGAAATCATTACACCTGTATTATTACTGCATAGTAATAAAGCTCATCACTCACACAGAATTGGGCCATTCTTACAGATCTGCCTGCTTCTCGTCTTGGTTCCACCACTAATGAGTCATGTGAGTCAGGGCTGTTCTCCTGTCTTAGTGGCCTTTAATGCCTTCGGCTGTAAAATGAGGTGAGACTGGCTAATCCTTCTTGTCTCTGTAAAATTTACTGTAAAATTGTATCAATCTGTGGCTTGTTGCAAACACAAAAAGGATTCCCAAGTAGTAAAAATGCACCAGGTCATAAAGGATTCAGATTCTGGCAAGTCCTCTGTTCTTATCACATCCATGAAGAACTTTATTGCTCTCTTTAATTGCCCCTAGCCAAGGTTAATTGGGTGTATTTAAGTCTTCTCTTATGGTATTCCGTGTGCCTTTCTAGTCTTTGCTCGAGTTTTTTTTTCTCCTTGCCGATTCTGATCAGTAGCTGTCAGTGTGTTTTCTGGAGGTCAGTGGTTTCTTGTCAGCTCTTGGCTGGCAGGTGGCACTTTTGAAGTCCTGCGCACTTTGCCTCCTTCTGGCTATTCGTGCCCTCAGTACTTGGCAGGGTGCAGAGAAGGATCAAGTAACTCAAGTGTTTCCCTCACACTGACATTCATCTTGGTATTCATCTTCCTTGTCCAAGAATGGATAAAGAAGGCATAATTAAGAAAATACTGGGGCTCCTTTGTTGTGACCAGAAACCTGTCCCATTGTCCCTGATGCTCATTCATTGTGTTTACCCCCGAGCAGCTATAATTCTTAGAAGGATTTCTCCTGTCAGCCTGTTATCCTGGCTTTGAAAGCCTCAGGTTTGAAAGGGGATTTCTTAGCACATTGAAGGATTTACTGTTTGATATAAGCATAATTTTTCCTGTTTGTTGTTGTTCCTTATCTGCAAGTTACTCTTTTTTTATTTTTTAAAGAATGAGTGAGTGAATGGACAATGCCTTTACCTTTTCTTTTTAATTAAAGAAATTGGTGCCTTTTAATTTATTTATTGTTGTCTGCCCTGTGGCATTCGGGATCTTAGTTCACTGACCAGGGATTGAGTCTAGATCTCCTACGTTGGGAGCCCAGAGTCTTAGCCACTGGACCACCAGGGAAGTCACTCTGCAAGTTACTTTCAAGACTATGATTTGTTTCTGTTTTTATTCACTTTGTTGTCATTTTAGCTTTTTAAGACATGTTCTAGATTAGGAACCCATCCACCATGTTTCTAGCCTCAGAAACCATTCCTGGGGAGATGTGAACAGACATTGTGTAGCTTGTTATTTTTAGAAGTATTTTACGTGGCAGGTGGCAGGTAATAATCCCAACAGCTGCTTAGAAAGTGTATGGTTTTTGAGGGCTGTTAGGGAGAGACCACAGATGTCTTATTTCTCTGGTGTAGCTATTTAACATCATTTCAAACAGCCCACTGTGCTCATCTTCTCACTAGTTGGAAAGGCAAGAGTTTGGCTCCAAGGAGCCAGTATTTCTGTGGTGGCAGCTGGAAGCCACTGAAGGCTTTTGGGTGGCATAGGAGGAAAGTCAGAATGACTTTATGAGATGCTCTTGTGGATTGTGTATAGGGATCCTGGCGATGGATCTGAAGACCAAAGAAAATTGCAAGAGATCAAGTTGTATTAGTTGAAATCAAGAATGAGCAGAAGATCCAAATACTGTCACGGAGGAGCATTTCACCAAGAATACCATTCACAAATCTTGATCCATGGCAGCCTGCCCTGGATCAGGACGTCTTGGTCATGGAACACTAGGGAGCATCCCAGGGATGGAGTAGGATACTTTGGGGATGCTGGACACCACCTATTTGGTTACTCCCTCACTGTGTGTTTTTTGCTGCATTTCATTGCAGGTTCGAATCTTCCTCCCACGCCATCAGCATGAGCGCCTACTTGCGAGAACAGAGAAGAGAGCTGTACAGTCGGAGCGGAGAACTTCAAGGTGGGTAACTGACCCTCCCTGGAAAAACTCATTTTCTGGAGGAAGATCTGAAGTGTTTATAGCATGTGAATTTGAGGTCTGCATTCATAGGATTCTTTGACAGTAGCAAAGATTTAAATACTTGGTAATCTGTTTCTTCTATCATTTCCCATCTGCCACCAAGCCGCTAAAACTGTTAGTACGGCCGCAGGATTTATAGACCTGCCACCATTCAAGTGTGAACTCAAAGTGAAAAGAGAAGGAGGGCAATTTCTTCTTGCTTAAAGATGACGGACATGATTCTAGTCACCGTCTAGAGGAATGCCCCTCTTCTGTGGCTGCCATGGTTATTTTAATTATTGTTTTCAGTACTTTCTGGAGTATCACAGGAATGCTTGAGATTTGGAAAAGGGCAGATGCTACCTCTGTCATTATTTAAAGGGAAGAAGGATGCCTTTAGACAGTGTGTGCTGATGAACATAGCTTTGATACACAGGATATTTGATACTTAGGTGTGGTTACTAAAGAGTTGAAATCTGAAGGAGAAAATACTTAAGAAAATAAGTAAATTTAATTAAATAAAAAAAATCATGCCAATAACCTTTTTTTCCCTGTGATCAAAAGGACGCTAATCATGGTAAATGTGATCAATCAAGAAAGGTTCGTGAGGCCTGCTAAATGCAGCACAGGCAAGCACTGAAAGGGGTGGAAGTTGTCTGGTACAAATAAAAGATAGAGCCTGAAGATCCAGTTGTGAAAATAAGGGAGGAATATCAATATCAGGAACTTCCCTGGTGGTCCAGTGGTTAGGAATCTGCCTTGCAATGCAGGAGATACAAGTTCGATCCCTAGCTGGGGAGTTAAGATGCCCCATGGTGCACCTACAACAAACAAAAAAACCCTTCAGAAACCAAGCAGTGTCAGACAGTCAGTGGTTAACAGCTAAGCAGGTGGTAGGCATAAATTGCAAAGTTTGTTGAGGGAAGGGAATGATTCTTTAGATTGAATTTCTAGAATTAAAAACCTAGAAATATGTTTGAGGATGTAAGGAAAAGGACATTAACTTACCAGCATCTTATTTAGTACTAAAGTATTGCTATATGTTCTAGAAAACATGAAGTGTGTGTGTCTTGGAGTCTTGAAGTGGAGGAGTATGGAGAGTAGTTAAATTTGGAATAAGTGAAGGAGTGACCTGCTGTGTGGTCAGACAAGGAGTGAAGGAGGAATGTGATCCAGGTCGCTGCAGCCAGCGACCTCCTAGCAATGCAGGATGAACTACAAAGCTTGGAAGGCAATGACAGTTTTGGAACACGCATTCTTGTAGGACTGATTATACTTGAACTGCCAGGTAGGGGGTCTAGCAAATCATCTCACAGAGTTCATTTGTGAATTCAGAGTTGGCCTAAGGAATAGTTTAAAATTTACCCATATAATTCCTTTTCACCTGGCTTCTAGTATATGATCTAAGGTTGGGAAGATCTCCTGGAGAAGAGACTGGCAACTCACTTTGGTATTCTTGCCTGGAACATCCCATGGATAGAGGAGCCTGGTGGCCCACAGTGCTTGAGGTCGCAGAGTCAGACATGACTGAGCACACATAAGTATGCACTAGATTCTTCTTTTTGGTTAGATAGTAAGCCCAGTGAGTAAGCAGTCTGCTCTAGCCATGTGGAGGGATTTTCTCTGCTTCCTCCCCAGTCGTGGTCCATGATCTCTTGAGAGACAGTAATAGCCAATCAATGAAGAGTAGAGAATTCTGGGCCCATATTGCCTGCATTTCAAACCTAGCTCCCGATTTCCTAGCTTCAGAAGCTCTATGCTTCTGCTTATCTGTAGATGGGGATAAAAATAGCAGTGCCTACCCCATGAGGTTGTTATGAAAATTAGGTGAGTAAAGCTGTGAACAGGGTTAAGAAAAGTGCCTGGCATGTAGTAACTCTAATGCCTTCCTCCTCAGATGTTGTTATTACTAGTTCTGTCACTGTAGAGTTTTCACATACATTCTGTTTGTCTCCTCATTGGGCTAAATGCAACTCAGCTTTCCTACTTAAATTTGTCATTTACTCTGCTGGTCCCTCCTCTCCCTAACTAACCTCCTGCCCACCACCCAAAAAACCACACACACACTGTTTCTACCTCTCTCTGAGCTCATTCCCCCTGCTGTGTGCTCACACATTTAGTGTTCCCTTTCTGATCACTTTCTGCGCTGGAGTGTGGATTAATGCTCACTGTTTGAGTCGGCCACTGAAGTATAAGCTCTGAGAGGGAAGTACTTCTTTATTTCCTGTGCTTTGCACAGTGCCTGGTATGGTATATGTTCGATAAAGACTGACTGACTCACTGACAGGAGGAATATGGGTGGTAGCGGTCTAAAGTAGGATGGACAAGGTCTAAAATAGGATGGACAGCTTACCACTGAGAAGTTAGGGGCCCAAAGGAGATGGGACCACTGACAGCCATTACCAGCTTCCTAGGTTTCCATTTGCTTTTAAGTTTAGGCTGAAGTAGAGCCTATACATGGAGAAGGCAATGGCACCCCACTCCAGTACTCTTGCCTGGAGAATCCCATGGACGGAGGAGCCTGGTAGGCAGCAGTCCATGGGCTTTTAAGTTTAGGCTGAAGTAGAGCCTATACATGGAGAAGGCAATGGCACCCCACTCCAGTACTCTTGCCTGGAGAATCCCATGGATGGAGGAGCCTGGTAGGCAGCAGTCCATGGGATTGCACAGGGTCGGACACGACTGAAGTGACTTAGCAGCAGCAGAACCTATACATAAATACATTTTTGTTCTTTGCAGTTATACATGGCTTTATTAAGTACAAATATGCCCTTGAGCTGTCTGGCCTATGACAGCATTGCTGTGTATAATTGAAAAACATTAAAATCCAGTTAAATTACAGAGGACTTTCATTCTGCAAGGGTGGTTAATTGAAGAATCATCATCATCTTAACTAGGAACTTCCCGTCTTTCAACAAGTTAATTGAAATATGGAACTTTCAAGCAACAGTCTATTGTACTTACCTGTGTTGAGCAAAACAGGTGCATTTATCTCTGGTTACAGGTAGAGAGTAGCTAGCAAACATATCATGTTCACAATAGTCATTAAAAAATAATTGAACTGAACTGACACATCACATGCTTGGTGAGAGACTATATCACCTGACCAATTATTGTACAAGTCTGGTAGTGTTTCATTTAGCAGCTAGAGTTTCTCTGAAGAATGCTTTTAATATTTCAGGGAAAAAAGGTGGAGGGGGGGTGTCATACCAATTTTCCATTAAAAACGGTCATTCTTTCTCAGTTATTCTATTAATCTGACCTGTCCGAGGACCACAGTGAGATCCACATTTCAGCTTATCCTGAAAAGGTGTAGCTTAATAGTTCAGTCACATCATGAGAGACTGGCAGGGGATTTTTGTCACGTCTCTTAACACCACGTAGCTGCAGTGGTTTGGTTCATGAGGTCAGCTCTTCCTTCTGTATGTAGGAGCATGGTAAAAGACAGACCATCAAAGTAACATTAAAAAGCTCAAATCTGACAAAAGTTCAGTTCCTGCCAACACTTCCAATTCATCATGCAATTAAAAATGTTACCCAACCTAACAACCCACAAGGGGGAAGAAAAGAATAAAAAAATGAGATTTCTTTGGTACCATCAACCCATCTCAGTTGGCTCTGTCAGGGTACAGATGGTTCATTATATAGTCTGCTGTTGGCAATTGGGCTGAGGACGTGGGGGTGCGATTTCCAAGTGTGCAGGGTAACAGGTGGAAATCAAACTTGTGTATGTGTCTCCGTTAATCACAGACGTCCTGTTGTTCCGAGCCTCTTCACTGACTGGTTCGTTGTTCCGCTTAGGCAGCCATGTGGTCGCTTAGAAAGATACTCATTTTAATGAATGTTTAGCTTGAATATAGCATCTCAGGTTTAGTGCATGATTCTCCAGGAGAATAAGATAACTGATGAACACATTATCTCATGAGGGTTAAAAAAAAAAAAAAAGGAAAGTCAAAATACTCACTGCAACCCATGACTGAAATAAGCTCTTTAGTTAATCAGTCCCCTGTGCCTCGGACCTCTCATTTGAAAAATAGAGCTGTTATCATTTCTGACTCTTTTAGGGGGATACTGTGACTGGTAGACTCGATATTAAACTCTGGAAAAATTAGAATAGCTGTAATTGATTGAAATTAAAATGGTGTGTAAAAGTTAACTTGTTAATTTTCTACACATCCCTCAGAATGCAAGCATCGATGGTGTGTTCCATGGCCTGGGACAATGCTTGACTTGAATTAGGCACTTAGAAAATACATGATGAAGGAGGAGGCCTCTGTCCTCAACATCTTACATGTACGTTAAAGCTTACTTATTTGAGAAACCCTAGTGGGGGGTTTTAAGAAACAGACTTATAGTTCTGTGATTTGTCTATGTTCATTTTTAAAGATATTGGAACTCATGAGTGGGTAGGGTACATTAATTGTCACTGATCCAAGTTGAAATGTACGCTCAGTTTCAATTCCAGTTTCTTCTCTGTCCTGGGGCTACTTAGTGCTTCTATTTGTTCTCAGTCATATCACCTTTAAGAGTATTAGTTTTATTCCCATTAGTTTAATGAGTAGCATTTCTATGGCCCTGACATTGAAATAGTCTGTAAAGCTCCAACCACTTGAGAATTGACTTCTCTAAGAGGATTTGCTTTACATAGTAAATACAGACGTACTGGCATCAGGGAAAACTGGGCTCTTACACTGACCTGACCTGAATTTTCTGAGTTTTTCTCTCTAATGGGTTGTTGGTTACTGGGGTTGTGAATACTTAATAATATTGTATGTAATTAATCTGCTTGGAGGTGCCTTGCCTTAAGGTAAGGCAATATTTGAAATAGATTAACCATGAGTTGATTATCCTTTTCACAGAGAATTTATAATAAGAGTCTCCTAAGTAGCAAGCTGTTCTATAATGGAACATTTAAAGCAAGGTTTCTCTTATGCATATATTTTCAGGGACATTTTGGCTGA